GAAATTTCATTCCTAAAAAAGAACAGAAAAGTCAATGTAACCATGAGACGCTCTATAATCCAATTTCTCGTTCTAAATTAGAAACAACGATGGTAATACTTGATAGAATATTTTAATTTTTCTTTCTACTATTTTACATTTTTCATTTTCAATTAATAACGTAGCCCATTTAATGAATCCCACTTATTCATATCGTTAATAAAGAAAGCCCAAGATAACGGAGGAGCAAGAAATACTCTCACTGATGAATTCATGTGAAGTTTCGCCTTAATAACGTCCAATGAGTTTAGTTTGTTATCAGCTAATCTGAGTTTTTTTTAAATCTAAAAGCCCAAAGTAATTTAGAAAATTTTAGGCCTAGTGTTGGGTCAAAGTCCAAATAATGCTTGGGCTCAATAAAAATGTACAATGATGCAAAGAAAAAGCAAAAAGAGAAACAGCTAGTTATTTATTTTCTGCGCTGCGGATAGTCCTGAGACGTCATTTATTTATTTATTTTTCTTTAGAAAAATAATAAGTCTAAATCTTATTGATACACAACTTATCCTACAAAAATTATTAATAAAGCAAATCACAATATTAAAAAATCCGGAAATAAAATATTCCCACGGGCAAGAGAACTCCACATAGATACAAGAAAAAGGACGAAGAAAATGGATAAAAAGGAAATTAAAGAGCTTAGAACCAGCCAATTGGAGCAATTTTGTTTATTTGCATGAAGAACATAAGAGGAACTAGGAAGTCCATGTATTCTTTCAAACCATGCTAGATGCCTAGACATGAGTAATGAGAATCAATGCAATGCACGTATCCAATAATTAATTTTTTCTTGATGCATAATGAATGCTCACAACTCCGAAATATCCTAAATTGATGCAATAATGTTGGATTTCTAGCCAATTTTTGAGCTACAAACTCGTGAATGAGTTTTCCTATTTGGGATAACTTTTTGTCAGCTCTAAAACGATATTTTTCTTTTTTTAAATTGCTAACCAAGTAACAAAAATGGAAACACGCATTTTTTGAATAGACGTGACATTTCTTGGAAACTCCTTTTCTGGGTTTCCATGCGAATCAAACAGGGTTTTTCTTAAAAAAATGCCTTAGAGACCCAAAAATATAGGACCCTACATGGGACAGGTGAGGTGTCGGCTCACTGTCCTATGATGTACTGTTCATAAACAGTGTATCATGAGACAGGGAGCCGACGCCTCACCTGTCCCATATAGAGTTTCAAGTTTTGGGGTCTTTATAGCATCACCCTTTCTTAAAATCTTCCCACTGCCTTAACTTCCCAGGTATATATGTAACCTCTACCTCCATTCCACACTGTAATTCTTAATGGGCTTTGAAAAGACAAAGCCCAATGCAAACTACCTAGAATCCAAAATCAAGTGGACCGTAGCGGGTTGGGGGGTGGGTTGGGGTGGGGGGTTGAAAAGGTAAAAAACAACGCCAGATAGTTCCTATTTTTGGGCATGTGCCCATTCCCTGTAGAAAAAGTTTTTTTTTTTTTTTTTTACTTTTAACATGAAACTAAGGATAAAAGAGTTGTGAGGGATCAGTTGCCTCAATTATCACAAACATCGAATACAATATAATAATAGTGCATGTGACTTCTTGGATACTTAAATAAGATTCTCGCTTAGCATCAACGAGAGAATATCACGGAGATCAACTAGAATAATGGTCGGAGGCAGTACAAACCCATTAAGACAATGCTAAAAACAAAACCCATGTGTTTTAAACTCTGTAACACTCATAAACTATAGTCATTTGAATATATACATATTATAAGTTGAAAATGCTTATGTTGTCACTTGTAGTTAATTAATATAGCACAAAATTTAACGAAAACTTTATGCTTCATATCCCAACACGACACCGTCTTCGAAGTTTTGGTGTTTATATCGTCTTGATACAAATGGCCGTTAATTAGATTCTTACGTTTTAAAAAGGATGTGTCAGTTATGTCCTTAATTTTCTCCCCCCCCTCTCTATTTTTATTTAACTTTTTTGGTATTTTAATAATACCTACAAGTTAGGCTATCATGTACGGTGATGAAGTGTTTAAAATTGATGGATTCAGTGAAAATTCTACTTGGCCATATATACGACCAAGAAGATAACCAATATTTTATCAAACAGCTAGAGGTTAACAAAAAGTGCGTAAAGTATGAATAGCTTTTGTCTCAATCCAACTTGTTGTTATTAATTAATTAATTAATATTTTTTACTACAAAATCCTGAATTACAATAACAGTTGGCTTTAGCCTTTCGTGATGAACCGCAAACGGGTCTTTTCCTATCACCTATCTAGATATTCCTATAAGGCTATCAATACTTCATAAAGAAGATTGATTTCCTCTTATTGATAGATAAAATCGAGAGCAGATTATGAACTTGGAAGAGGAAAACGTTATCTAGAGATGGGAGATTAATTCTTCTCAGTTCAGTCTTGAGCTTAAAGCCTCCTTTTTTTTTGAGAATTTTTTTTTTTTAAATAATATTTTTTTGAGAAAATTAATGCCTCTTTTTTGGTAATCTGTTTTCCTCTTCCCTGTGTGGGTATAGAGAGCATTGATAAGATTAGAAGAAGATTATTGTGGTAAGTAAATTGGAGAGCTTAAGAGCTTCATGCTTAGTAAAATGGGAACATGTATGCCGACCAAAGAATCTAGGTGGTTTCGGAATTATTAACCTTCATATTATGAATAAAGCTTTTCTGAAAAAATAGATGTGGAGGAGGTTGGAGAATAAGAATACTTTGTGGAAAAGAGTAATACATGACAAATGCTATTCTGTTGATGATGTTTTTTTTTCTCTAAAACTCTAACAATATACCACATTTCTGAAGAAATATTTTAAAACCTGCTAATTTATTCCTTATAAATACACAAATTAATGTGGGAAATGGGAGGATAACTTACTTTTGGTTAGGGGGTTATTTATTGGGACATTTGGGGGGATAATGGTATAATTTTGGGGATTCTATTTCATAGTGTTATATATTGTGACTATGGAACAAAGATATTACCTTTTTGTATTATTGGTTTTTTGGAACACTAGTGAGACAATTTCACCACTTGGGATAAAATTACCCCACTCATATACAAAATTTTTATCCCAATAGTAAAAATTTACCACATCCTCCATATTGGAACAATTTTGTTCCACTTTGAAGTCAATTGAGATAATTTTCAAACCTTTTTGTATTACTTAACTAATACATGCTAATTATATTATAAATATACGATATGATAATATAAAATATAAAGTAATAATATATTCAATATATTATATTATATTATCATGAAATAAAATAAAATTTTATAGTTTAATTTATATATATAATTTATTTTATGATATTTATTATATATTATTATGCAATAT